AGCTGCGTGAGTGGTTTGCCCGGCGCTGGAGGCGTGCTGCTGGTGCTGGAGGTTCTTCGGCTACTGAGGGTGCTGCTGTCGCGGGTCCCGGAGGTGCTCGTACTGGGAGTACTGGAGCTGCTGGGCCTGCGGGTTCGACTGGAGCTGGTGCTGCTGAGGGTGTTGGCGCTAGGACTACCACTGGCGGTCCGGCTGGCGGTGCTCCTGGTGCTGCTGGAGGATCTGGGGCTGCTAGAGGTGCTGCTGGGGGTTTTGGAGCTACTGGAGGTGCTGCTGGAGGTGCTACTGGAGCGGGTACTCCTGCTGGGGGTACAGGTGCTGTCCCTGCTGTTCCTAGCGTCGCCACGCGGCCCCGACCGTACTTCGTTCGACTCCTGCAGCAGGTTCTTGGTCTTACACCTTCTCCTGGTCCTCCTCCTCCTCCCTTAGAGGGTCCACAGCCTGTCCAGTCCCAGTCACAGCTACAGCCTGCCTCCCCTTTGCCTGCTCCTTCTCCCTACGCTGGTCCTACTGGAGGTCTTACTGAGCGTCGTGAGCCTGCGTCTCGTCCTGTGTCGCCTGTTCGTGCTGCGCGCGCTAGTGGTCGCGGTTCGCGTCAGCGTCCTCCTCTTGTCCCTGGCACGCACCGGATGTCTCTGCGTCCGTCTACTACTCCTCTGCGTGCCACTTTGCCTTCTCCTCCTGCGTCCTCTCTTCCTGCTCTTGCCGACCCGGAGTCGGACTCTCTTCGTGCTGCCAGTCCTACTGTCACGCGTCTCCTTGCTACTGCCATCACTGACCCTTCTTTCGAGTCTACTGTTGCGTCTGCCCTTGTTACTGAGCTCGTCGACTTTGCTGCTCGCTGTCGTCTAGACTACGCTGCTAGTCTTGTCGCTGAGTCTGAGTCTGCCTGTCCTCCGTCTGTCGGGGGTGAGTGTGCCCTTGGCACGGACGTCCTTGAGGACAGGCAGGAGGAGTTCCAGTGTCTGGCCGCCGCTTCACCTCATCTCGTGTCCGTACTGCTCACCCCTGAGGGAGACCCGGATGCACTTGACATCCCGACTCCGCGCTCTTACACGGAGGCGATAGAGGGTCCCTACTCCTCTCAGTGGCAGGCAGCTATGGATGCAGAGATGGCTTCCTGGAAGTCCACAGGCACCTACGTTGACGCTGTCCCCCCTCCTGGGGCGAACATTGTCAGTGGCATGTGGATTTTCAGGGTGAAGCGGCCGCCGGGTTCTCCGCCTGTCTTCAAGGCGCGTTACGTGGCTCGTGGCTTCAGTCAGCGGCAGGGAGTTGACTACTTTCGGACCTTCTCCTCCACCCCGAAGATGACCACTCTTCGGGTACTGCTGCACGTTGCTGCTCACCGTGACTACGAGCTGCACTCTCTCGACTTCAGCACTGCTTTCTTGCAGGGCAGCCTGCACGAGGAGATCTGGCTGCGCCGCCCACCTGGCTTCACTGGGTCTTTCCCTCCTGGTACCCAGTGGAGTCTCCGGCGTCCAGTCTACGGTCTCCGCCAGGCGCCACGTGAGTGGCACGACACACTGAGGACTACGCTTGCGGCACTTGGGCTTGCTCCTTCTACTGCCGACCCGTCGCTGTTTCTGCGCACCGACACCTCTCTGCCGCCGTTCTACATCCTCGTGTACGTCGACGACTTGGTCTTTGCCACAGCTGACACTGCTGGACTCGCCTACGTGAAGTCCGAGCTACAGAAAAGACACACGTGCACTGACCTGGGTGAGCTGCGCAGCTACCTTGGCTTGCAGATCATCTGGGACAGAGCACGCCGCACCATTACCCTGACTCAGTCACACATGGTGCAGCAGGTCCTTCAGCGCTTCGGCTTCACGTACTCCTCGCCTCAGGCCACTCCTCTGCCTACTCGTCACTCGCTCTCAGCTCTGCCTTCGGATGAGTCCGTAGAGTCGAGTGGCCCGTATGCAGAGCTTGTTGGCTGCCTCGTGTACCTGATGACCTGCACTCGACCTGACCTTGCATACCCTCTTAGCATTCTCGCACGCTATGTTGCTCCTGGGAGACACCGACCAGAGCACATGGCTGCAGCGAAGAGGGTGTTGCGCTACTTGTGCAGTACGTCGGGCATGGGGCTAGTGCTTGGAGGGCGGAGTCCAGTGGTCCTCACTGGGCACGCGGACGCTTCTTGGGCTGACGACCAGGCTACGCAGCGGTCGTCACAGGGTTACACTTTCAGTCTTGGCTCCGGCTCTGTTTCGTGGCGGGCTACCCGCTCGTCTTCGGTTCTCGGCTCCAGTTGTGAGGCTGAGATCTACGCCGGGGCTATGGCTGCCCAGGAGCTTCGCTGGCTCACCTACCTGCTGACCGACCTTGGAGAGCCGCCTCGTTCTCCTCCAGTCCTGTACGTAGACAACAAGGCCATGCTGGCCTTGTGTCGAGAGCAGCGACTGGAGCACAGGACAAAGCACATTGCTCTCCGCTATTTTCTTGCTCGTGAGCTACTGCAGCGTGGACAGTTGCGGCTTGCGTACGTGGCCTCTGAGGTCAACACTGCTGATGTCTTCACCAAGGCACTTGCGCCTTGTGATCATCAGCGCTTCTGCACTCAGTTGGGTCTTGTGCCTGTCTTGCCTCACTTGCTCACTTCTTGACCTTGCTTGTACTGTCACATATATATACTCTTGCTCTTGCTTGCTTAGCCTCTTGTATATCTTTATATGTGATCTTGCATATGAACTAGCCTTTTGACCTTTGAACTTGTGCTCGGAATGTGTGGTGACTTTGTGATCCACCCTGAGCTTTGCCTTGCTTTGTTTGACTGGTCTTGTGACCTCTTGTTCTCCCCCACTTTGCCTATGGGGGTGTGTCAGAACATTATAGCTTACTTATTTTGTGTAGGCTATAGTGGGGTATCCCATAGGGGGTACAACCCAATTAGGGTTTCCTATATGTACTCGCTTCATTCATAGTCATTCCATTCTCGTTCTCATCTTCACATGAGACATTCGCCCCGGTTAGCCGACATACCTCACTTCGAATCATCCTCGCGATCGCGGCCATGAAGAAAAAGAAGCTGCGGCAAATCGACGTCGCCAACGCATTCCTCTACGCACCTGTTGATGCCGAAATCTTCGTTGAGTTACCACACATCTCCCACGGAGAACCCAACCAAGTTTGCCAGCTACTCAAGTCACTCTACGGCATCAAGCAGGCCCCGCGACTGTGGCAACAGCACCTGCACGCTCGCCTCATCCGCATCGGCTTCAATCAACTACCGCACGACCATGGCATGTACCGGCTCACTAAAGACGAAGACTACATTCTGCTAATCGTCTACGTGGATGATCTCCTCTACATCGGGTCGACTGACGGCATCACTACCTGGTTTGAAGGAGAGCTGCAGCGAGATCTCACGCTCATAGTCTCATCTACCGTCACTCAGTACCTCGGCCTCAACATCCGCGAAGAAGAGAATGCGATCTACCTCAGCGCCGAAAAATACGCCGACACTATCGCCAAACGTTTTACGATCACACCAGCGGCCATCTCCACGTCATATCGCTACACGGCAGGGAACGACAAAGGAGGCTCCGCCCTACTCAAACCCGCCGGCATACGATCTCAGAATCCCAACCACTAGACCATTGGGATAAAAGGGCTTGTTTAAGTAGCGGGTCAGTGCGCCCATAACCCCCCAGGCAACCGTGCCTGTAACCCTTCCCTAGGATCAATCGGGGATCACCAGTGGACCTCTGACATACGAGACTATCAGAAGAAGCTGGGATGTCTACTCTTCGCAGCCGTCACCTGTCGTCCCGACCTCTCATACTCCGCAAGCCAGCTCGCTACCTATCTCAAAAGGCCTGAAGCAGAGCATCTGACGGAACTCGACTGCGCTCTTCACTACTTCGTCAGCACCCCGACGGTCGGCCTGACCTACCATAAGAAGCAACTGCACCACCTAAGCTAATCGGTTACGTCGAAGCAGATCACGCGGGCGACTCCAACAACAGACGATCGCGCACCGGCTATGTCTATCGCTTCGAGCCTATCGGGCCTGTCTCCTGGCAATCGAGCAAGCAAGAAGTAATTGCTCTCTCGTCAGCTGAAGCAGAATATATTGCACTCTGCTCAGCCACCAAGGAAGGACTCTACCTTCGCGAACTACTAGAAGAGGCGAAGTTAGCCGAGTTACCCAACTTCACCCTTTTCTGCGACAACCAATCTGCAATCCGCATCGCCAACAAGAACGGCTTCGCGAACAGAACGAAACACATCGCCCTGCGATATTTCTTCGTGAAGGACGAGATCGAGAAGAGAAGACTCGTCCTGTCATACTGTCCCACGTCCGAGATGGCAGTTGACTACTTGACCAAGAAACTCGGAAAGCAGAAGTTCGAATACTGCATGCTGCTGACTGGACAGAGCCACGTCAGCGACACTCCAGAAGCGAAGGGGAGTGTTGGAAACAATAGGTCCTAAAGCGCTTCTATCGTGTCGAAACACCAAGGCACAAGCGAGGCAAATCATATCGAGGCACCAGCGAGTCAACCCTCGGAGGTTAAAGTAACCGCTGGAGGTTACGTGAAGGTCAAAGGTCAGCGACCTTTGACTTGACAAATGCAGCGCGATAGCAAGGACACACAACTGACTCGACATTGAGCAGTTGCCCGAGTCGTCACTGTATCGAACCGCAACAGCAACAGTAAAAGTAGTTACAACCGTATCTCTTCGTATTACTCTTATATAAAACTCTGTACTTGCATGCCTTAATCAACTCACTTTGTTCTCACACACTAGTACAAGGTGGTTCAGAGTCTCATCATTAAACGCTTCCGCTACCACATCACTTTACTCAGAGTTTCATCCTACCAAAGATCCTAAGGGGCATTCAGCCCAACAGCTTCCACCCCACCTACAGCTCCTACTGCTCCTCCACTCCCCCCACCTCCACTCCCCCCACCTCCACTCTCCCCTTCCCCACTCTCCACTTCCGCCTCACCTCACCTCTCCCCTCGTCCCCCCAACCCCCCTGCTCATGGTGCTCCCAGAAACATCAGCGGCTGTTGAGAACCCGCTCCTGTTACTGCTGCACCTCCTGCTGCCCCCTGCTTCTCCTCCTGCTGCTCCTGCTGCCCCTCCATCCCTCCCCCCCCCTTTTTCCCCCCTCCTCCCCTCCCCCCTGCCCCAATCACGGTGCTCCCAGAAACATCAACGCCTGTTGAACAACCTCTCCTGCTACCCCTGCTGCTCCTGCTGCCCCTCCGTCCCCATCCCCCCCTCTTTCCCCCTTCCTCCCCTCCTCCCTGCCCCCCTCACGGCGCTCCTAGAAACATCAAAGGCTGTTGAGAACTCGCTGCTGTTGCTGCTGCTGCTCCTGCTGCTCCTGCTGCTCCTGCTGCTCCTGCTGCACTTTCTGCTCCTGCTGCTCCTTCTGCTCCTGCTGCTCCTTCTGCTCCTTCTGCTCCTGCTGCTCCTGCTGCTCCTGCTTCCGCCCCACCTGGACCTCCTGCACCTCCCCCACTGCCCCCCCCTCCGCTCTCCCCCCTGGCGACAGCCACCTTTCGGCCAATCAGAGCGCGTCTCGTCGCCAGCAAGGCATCCAGCTCCTCCTGTAGATCCCCAGAATCCGGCTCTGCTACCCCACCTGAATCGCCACCTGAACCACCTGAATTTCCACCTGAACCTTGGCGCTTCTGCAGGGCAGATACAGCCTCGATCCGGGCCCCAATAACCGCCTCAGATTCAGGAACTTGATCTTCCTTGCATCTGCTCCCCCCTTCAGCAGCACCAGCGGTGGCAGCAGAGGTAGTATCAACAGTCATTTCAGGAGCCAAGTCCTGCAGCAGGCGCAGCACTGCCAATCTCACATCCCCATTTTGGGACCCCACCACCCCCGGCTGTAGCAGCGACGCGAGAAGGCCCGAGGAGAGAGCCAGGGGGCGGTCGGAGGGGCACTGCTGTAGAAAGTAGAGCGTGAGATGCAGGGCTTTAAGTAGGAGCTTGGTGGGAGCGCTGCTGGTGGTGCTGTCGGTGCCGGTAGTGTTGTTGGTGGTGGAGGAGATTAATGAGGTGAGTCCTTTAATGCCGACGACGGCTCGAAGGGACGCCAGGCCTTCTGGGTTATGGCGCACCAAGGCTGGTGGTGGGGGGGGAGGAAAAGATAAGGGGGAAAGAGGGGGTTGAACGCCGATGCGTTCAATCAGGGAGATTAGGGAGGTGAGTCCATTGATGCCAACGACGGCTCGAAGGGACGCCAGGCCCTCTGGGTTATGGCGCACCAAGGTTGGTGTGGGAGGGGAAGAGAATGTGGGAGGGGAGAGAGAGAGGGGGGGGGAGGGTGTGGTGGTGAGTGGCGGGGGGTGGGGAGGGGGGATTATGCGAAATGGGGGGCATGGGGTAAAAGGGGAGGCATGAGCGAGAAGAAGAGGGTACGGAGCCCATGTGGGGGTTTCAGAATGCCAAGTTACATAAACAAACAAACAAAACAGAAAACTAAATCCCCATTCATCCTGCCACCCACTTACGTGAAATCGCCCCCACAGCCATGGTCTTGGCAGTGACGTCAGCATCTTTCAGCAGCATGTGCATGAGGGACAGATGGCCGCCCGCCTCCTGCCTCCTCCTCCTGTCTCCCTCCATCACGTTGCATTGAAGCTACACTGGTTACCAACCCCAAACCCAAACCCACGCCCAAACCCAAACCCAAACCCAAACTCAAACCCAAACCCAAACCCACGCCCAAACCCAAACCCAAACCCAAACCCAAACCCAAACCCAAACCCAAACCCACGCCCAAACCCAAACCCAAACCCAACTTGATTGACCATTCCCTGCATCCCTCACCTATCCATGCCCCAACTTCTCACTCCCCCTAACTACCCTACCCCCTTCCCCATAAACCCTGCTACTCACATGAGATAGCCCCCACGGCTTTGGTTCTAGCAGTGACGTCAGCATCATTCAGAATCATATCCATGAGGATCAGATGACCGCCCGCCTCCATGACGCTCCGTTGGCTCTTTTCGTTGTTTTGCACCATGGTGGTTACCACCTCCGCCGCCCGCGCTCGCAGGATGGCATGGGGGGAATTGAGGAAGCGCAGCAGCGGCTCCAAGCCTCCTATGGCCTTCAGGTCTGGTGGGTGAAAGGGGACGGGGAGAGAAGGGAAGTCAGAGAGGGTAGAGGGGGAGAGAGAGAGAGAGAGATTGTTGGTAGATGCAAGTCAGTCGTCTGCCCGCGCGGGGAGGATTGCAGCCGCAGAGGCCATGCAATCCTCCTATAGCAGCAGCCTTTGTAGCAGCAGAGGCCATGCAATCCTCCTATAGCAGCAGCCTCTGCAGCAGCAGAGGCCATGCAATCCTCCTATAGCAGCAGCCTCTGCAGCAGCAGAGGCCATGCAATCCTCCTATAGCAGCAGCCTCTGCAGCAGCAGAAGCCATGCAATCCTCCTATAGCAGCAGCCTCTGTAGCAGCAGAGGCCATGCAATCCTCCTATAGCAGCAGCCTCTGTAGCAGCAGAGGCCATGCAATCCTCCTATAGCAGCAGCCTCTGCAGCAGCAGAGGCCATGCAATCCTCCTATAGCAGCAGCCTCTGTAGCAGCAGAGGCCATGCAATCCTCCTATAGCAGCAGCCTCTGCAGCAGCAGAGGCCATGCAATCCTCCTATTGCAGCAGCCTCTGCAGCAGCAGAGGCCATGCAATCCTCCTATAGCAGCAGCCTCTGCAGCAGCAGAGGCCATGCAATCCTCCTATAGCAGCAGCCTCTGCAGCAGCAGAGGCCATGCAATCCTCCTATAGCAGCAGCCTCTGCAGCAGCAGAGGCCATGCAATCCTCCTATAGCAGCAGCCTCTGCAGCAGCAGAGGCCATGCAATCCTCCTATAGCAGCAGCCTCTGCAGCAGCAGAGGCCATGCAATCCTCCTATAGCAGCAGTCTCTGCAGCAGCAGAGGGGCTCCAAGCCTCGTATGGCCTTGAGGTGTGTCGGGAGGAGATGACTCATGAAACCGGGAGGGAAGGTGGCAGGACAAGGAATTAAGAAAAAAAAGGGATCATAGAAATGAGGAGCTAGCTCCTGCAGGGAGGACGGCAGTAGGATGAGCAAACCAAAAATGTGTAACGGTGAGCGTTTCTCAGGCAAAGGTGAAAATTAATGGACAAGCCCTCACCATTGGCCATGTCGATGGACTCAACATGCTCCTGCAGCTCCTCCAGCATGCCGGCCATTTCCTCCTCCATGACTCCCTGCGCCAGCAGCTCCTCCTCACCTCAGAGAAGAGGAGTCCTCTCTTTCCATAGATCATAGACCTAAGCCAGGAACACACTCGTACCATTGGCCATATCAATCGACTCCACATGCTCCTGCAGCTCCTCCAGCATGCCCGCCATCTCCTCCACCGTGACTCCCTGCGCCAGCAGACCCTCCTCAGTGACTGCCATGACCATGCTGATTTCCTTCATCCGCTGCACTATGTCCACCACCGCCGCCTGCATGGCTTGGTTGAACCACTGCCGCTCCTCGTCGCTGGAAGGACGGACGGACGGACGGGAGGAAGGATGGGAGGAAGGTCGGACATGAGAGAATGGAAGTAAGGGAAAAGAAGAAGAGAGGGAAAAGAGCAAGAGAAGGGGGAGCGAATAAGTCCCTCCTCAGTGACTCCCGTGAACATGCTGATCTCCTTCATCCTCAACAAATTCAAGTGGTTCCAACTTGAACCCCACTCACGTGATCTGCCGAGCGGGGCCAGTGCCATCGGAGTGAGCGAGGCTCCACTTGAGAATGCCCTCGAGATTGCCGCCAGGCCCCATATTCGGCATGCTGCCCGAATGCTGTTTGAATGCTGCCCGAACGTTGAACGAAAACTGCCCGACACTGCCCGAATGTTGAATGTTGTCCGAATGATATCGACGCTCTCGGATCCGAGATGATGCGCGCGGCCTTTTAACGCCACGCGGCGAACGAATCAATCCGAGACGTCTCGAATCGCGATTCGGCGTGACGGGCGAAGGAAGGAAGGAAGGCTCGATTGCAGGCAGCGAAGTCGCGAAGCGGAGAGGGACTTGTGAGTCGACTCAAAAGTCAGGCCGAGGAGCGGCGAGGGAGCGCGCGTGACGCGAAGGAATCCGGAGGAGCACGAGCACGAGCAGTTGGTGCTTTGAGAAACACGGGATTGGCCAAGAAAGTGGAAGATAAGGGAGGAGACGATACCAAGGCACGAAGGCACGGCTGCTCTGGTGGATATCCTACAGCTGCGCTCGAATAAGTAGGATTCTGCTTTCGTAGACGCGTGAAATGTGGCACGAACAAGCCGAATCTGATCAAGTTATGGGAGCGCAAGAACGTCTAGTGTGAAGAATATTATCCATAGAAGTTAGAAGAATCTTCTCGATGGAAGTTAGAAGTATCTTCTCGACGGCGGTGGGAGCACATTCCCGAGAAGCCAAATAGATTTACGAATTAAAAAAACAAGCACGTTTTCCGTGCGTTCATGCCGGAGTGGTTAACGGGACAGACTCGAAATCTGTTGGGCTCTGCCCGCGCAGGTTCGAATCCTGCTGAACGCGACTTTTGTCCTTCTTGTGGAGTACAATTTGAGTGATCCTTTTGTGTCAACGCACCGCACTCTAGCCATGCTTGTCATTTCAGAAGTTATGGAACCAGCTCGAGGGTGGTTCATTTTGACATTCCTCTACCTTAGCACTCTTGTAGGGTTGTTGCAAGTTAATGATGAGGACAAATCGCATAAAACAATTTGGAGTGTGCGCCAAATCTTCACACATACAATGTGCAGCACACTATTTTCATAAGAGGTTTACATGGATGGAACGAATTGACGTTGATAGTGCGGAGAATAGCTCTACAGCGGTGGGAGCTAGACTACGGGTCAGGCACTGGTTGTAAGAGTAATCTAGCTCTGTCTGTGTTCTCTATGACTTGTGTGCTCACAGGGCAAAACAGCCAGAGTTTTATCAGGAAAATTGAGAACACAGAATGAACTAGCAATGGCAAGAATGACTACATCATATGCAAGGTTTGCTAGTGCACAGGCAGGTCGACCACCAGCACGACAAAGTCGTCGACCTGCCAACGTAGCAACTCCGCTGCCTGCCAACGCAGCTTGTGTGCGACTTGCCAATGCTGTAGAATGGCGACCTGCCAAGGCTGCACCCACGCGGCTTGCCAACACTGCATCCGCAGGTGATTGTATGCGCATGTGCAAGCACCTACTTCGCGGGTGCTTATAGACAGTTACGCACGACGAGCAGTGTCGCGCGCGTTGCGTAGGTTGTCAGCCACATGCCGAAGGTTGCACCTGACGAGCCACGTCGACCACGTGCTGCCACGCCGGTCGACTTTGCCACAAGAACCTCAACAACGTTTGTCCACCTCCACAGAACCTCGTCGAGCAGGTAACTCGTTCGACCGGGTAAAGTCCCCTGCAACCCTGCAGGACAATGACCTTTGTCATCATTGGTTGACGACCTTCGTCGTCGCGGGTCGACGACCTTCGTCGTCGCGAGTCGACCACCTTCGTCGTCGCGGGTCGACCATCTTTGTCGTCGCGGGTCGACGACCTTCTTCGACCACCTCGGTCGAAATTCTGGCTCCTCATTGGTCGAAATCAGGGCACATTCAAATTTCTAGCCGAAATTCTCTTGTGCATTCGCGAGGGTGCACACGATCAGACGCGACCTTGCGCACATGAACACCCGTGAATCTCTGCACCAGCTGCTCCACTTGCACATGTGCACGAGACATTTGCGTTGCACTCGCGGGTGCTTCAGTTACTCTTGCATAGATTCCCTAATACACCTTCACCTTGTGCACGAGGTCCTTGTCCCGACCTGCGCAGAAGCCCCAGATCTTGCATACTGCAGAGAATCGACTGCACCTCCCACACACCCGACCACGAAGTCAGCTTTGCCCAATCGGGGGCGGGGCCAACTCCCGCCTACAGCTACCACCTTGTCAACCTTTCCCATGGGAACTGTAAGAGTACGACGGCTTATGCGAGCTATGCTTGCTTGTCTTGACTTTATTATGCTATTTCTAGCATAAGATAATTATATGCATGCATGAATTGCTTGATTTCCTAGGCTAGGTGCTTTCCTATATTTTATTATAGTTATAGCACCGAGCTAGGTTGCGTGCACCGAATTCTGGCTTTTCGGTTGCAACCGAATTGCCTTCTACCGAATTCGGGAAGGATCTATTCGGGACGTTTCGCGACCCGCGGAACCTTCGCGTAACACCTGGTCACGGGGCCTTGTGTCGAGCCTATATATAGCCTCGTGTTGTACCCAGGTGATCACTCAATTCAAATTCTCTTTTCTGAGCTCGATCCTAGATCCTCACACTTGGTAATCAGAGCGTGTTCGAAGCAAAGTGTTTTCTACCGCTAAAACCTAGCTTTTAAAACCGCGGGGGCGACGACGGAAAGCGCCGATTTCGGGTACGTAAACCAGTTCCTGTGAAAATGTGTAAGCAGGAATGGGAATGACTAAGTCAGAGTTGGGTACAAATACAACCCTAGAAAACTGTACCCCATATGTGCTACCCCACTATAGCCTACAAACATGCATCAGCTATGATAATCTGACACACCCCCATAGGCAAAGTGGGGGAGAACAAGGGGTCACAAGACCAGTCAAGCAAAGCAAAGCAAGCTCAGGGTGGATCACAAAGTCACCACACAGTCCGAGCACAAGAGCAGGGCCAGAGGCCAGTTCACATGCAGGAGTACAGACATATATATAAAACTAGACAAGCAAGAGCAGGTATATATATATGTCACAGTACAAGTAAAGTCAAGAGGAGAGCAAGTGAGGCAAGACAGGCACAAGACCCAGCTGGGTGCAAAAGCGCTGATGGTCACAAGGCGCGAGTGCCTTGGTGAACACATCAGCAGTGTTGGCCTCAGAGGCCACGTACGCAAGTCGCAACTGACCACGCTGCTGCAGCTCACGAGCAAGAAAGTAGCGGAGAGCAATGTGCTTCGTTCTGTGCTCCAAGCGCTGCTCTCGACACAAGGCCAGCATAGCCTTGTTGTCTACGTACAGCACTGGAGGAGAACGAGGCGGCTCTCCAAGGTCAGTCAGCAGGTAGGTGAGCCAGCGAAGCTCCTGTGCAGCCATGGCCCCGGCGTAGATCTCAGCCTCACAACTGGAGCCGAGAACCGAAGACGAGCGAGTAGACCGCCACGAGACAGAGCCGGAACCAAGGCTGAAGGTGTAGCCCTGTGACGACCGCTGCGTAGCCTGGTCGTCAGCCCAAGAAGCGTCCGCGTGGCCGGTAAGGACCACTGGACTCCGCCCTCCAAGCACTAGCCCCATGCCCGACGTACTGCACAGGTAGCGCAATACCCTCTTCGCTGCAGCCATGTGCTCCGGTCTGTGTCTCCCAGGAGCAACATAGCGTGCAAGAATGCTCAGAGGGTATGCAAGGTCAGGTCGTGTGCAGGTCATCAGGTACATGAGGCAGCCAACAAGCTCTGCATACGGACCACTCGACTCTACGGACTCATCCGAAGGCAGAGCTGAGAGTGAGTGGCGAGTAGGCAGAGGAGTGGCCTGAGGCGAGGAGTACATGAAGCCGAAGCGCTGAAGGACCTGCTGCACCATGTGTGACTGAGTCAAGGTAATGGTGCGGCGTGCTCTGTCCCGAGTGATCTGCAAGCCAAGGTAGCTGCGCAGTTCACCCAGGTCTGTGCACGTGTGTCTCTTCAGCAGCTCGGACTTCACGTAGGCGAGTCCAGCAGTGTCCGCTGTGGCAAAGACCAAGTCGTCGACGTACACGAGGATGTAGAACGGCGGCAGGGAAGTGTCGGTGCGAAGAAACAGCGACGGGTCAGCAGTAGAAGGAGCAAACCCAAGAGCCGCAAGCGTAGTCCTCAGTGTGTCGTGCCACTCACGCGGTGCCTGGCGGAGACCGTAGACTGGCCGTCGGAGGCTCCACTGGGTGCCAGGAGGGAAAGTCCCAGTGAAGCCAGGTGGACGGCGAAGCCAGATCTCCTCGTGCAGGCTACCCTGCAGGAACGCAGTGCTGAAGTCGAGAGAGTGAAGCTCGTAGTCGCGCTGAGCGGCTATGTGCAGCAGCACCCGAAGAGTGGTCATCTTCGGGGTGGGAGAGAAGGTCTGAAAGTAGTCGACTCCCTGCCGCTGACTGAAGCCACGAGCAACGTACCGTGCCTTGAAGACAGGTGGAGAGCCCGGCGGCCGCTTCACCCTGAAGATCCACATGCCACTGACGATGTTCGCCCCAGGAGGGGGAACCGCGTCAACGTAGGTGCCTGTGGACTTCCAGGAAGCCATCTCTGCATCCATAGCTGCCTGCCACTGAGAGGAGTAGGGACCCTCTACGGCCTCCGCGTAAGAACGCGGAGTCGGGATGTCTAGTGCATCCGGGTCTCCCTCAGGGGCAAGCAGTACAGACGCGAGATGAGGTGAAGCAGCCGCTAGACACTGTAACTCCTCCTGCCTGTCCTCTAGGACGTCCGTGCCAAGAGCACACTCACCCCCGACGGACGGAGGACAGACAGACTCAGCAACAAGACTAGCAGCGTAGTCGAGACGACAGCGGGCAGCAAAGTCGACGAGCTCAGCGACTAGAGCAGACGCAGCAGTGGACTCAAAAGAGGGGTCAGTGACGACAGTAGCAAGCAGACGCGTGACAGTAGGACTCGCAGCGCGAAGAGAGTCCGACTCAGGGTCGGCAAGCGCAGGAAGAGAGGACTCAGGAGGAGAAGGCAAAGGGGCACGCAGAGGAGCAGTGGACGGACGCAGAGACATCCGGTGCGTGCCAGGGACAG